TTTAAGCCATGCTTACTGTCTTTGTATTTGCTCTTGTACTTTGGCCATCCAACCCCCCGTACTCATTCTTTTGTCTTTTCTTTTATTATTATTCAAATTTAGGCCAGTGCTTGCAGGGATTCCAGAATGTTCTTTTTGAACATGAACTCACAGGCTCCAACTAAAAGGACTGGGTCCTCCACGGGCAAGCATTTCATCATCAACATTGGTTAAATGTTGTGATTTAGAGACATCTTTGAGGCATAGTATTTTCCAGTCAAACTGGAAAAGAACATTCAGTTGTAGTTCCCAAACGTAAAATCCTACAGCTCTCTAAGAATGAACTTGAATTCTTACAAGTTGTAGCATCCAGCAGTTGATTTTTTTATTTTAATTTTTAAAGAAAACGTAGGATTTTTTAAAGTGTTGTTTACGGAAATCTATTTCCTCTGATGGCAAAGCTGAATTTTCAGCAGCCATTTCTCCAGTGTTCAGTATCACGTAATCATTCAGAAACATTTCTTATTATTATCAATGCTAAAAAACTGAAATGTGACATAACATAAAACACAGTTCAATTTAATGTCAAGGTTTTGCTCTCATTTCAATATGCTGGTGCTTTTCATTGTGCTCACACATGCTAGCTATACAGTATTACATCTCACCACAACACAGTACCAGCGTGTTCGCTTGCTGCTGCATCATCTTTACACAAGAACTATTAGCTAACACATGACAGCGGTTCTGGCAAAGCAAAGAAACTGCAGAAATGTAATATGATCACGTACGAACTATTATGCTACAATCAGGTAATATTTTGAGCTGCTAACTGCTTAAATCAAGCCAATTAAGATAGGTTGCCATCACATATTACCTTCTGAAACTCTGCTTTTGGCAGTCATTTGGTATGACAAAATTAGCACAACACTTTTATCTCATTTCATCATGACATTCACTAAAATGGTTGACTCTGAATGAATAAAGCTGTGAAAATAGTCTTATAATTATTCCGCTTGCCGCAAGTAGAGGGAAACAGTAACCTTATAAAAGTGCTTTGGGCTGCTCTTGTTTGAACACAGTGTGGTAAGGAACTCAAAGTATGCGCAGACTTTGTTTTTGGTGGTTTTACCCAGAAATCTACTCCAAATTCCTTGAAGTGGGGTACAATAAAGTTGAATCTTGGAGACGACCGTCTCTGGACTTCAGCAACTGAATGTTATTACCATAACAAAAGCCTACAGAATAGCTAGAAAAACGTTTAAAGTTCAGCCAAATGCATTATTATATTACAAACATTAAAAATAATGCATGATGCAGAGGAACCAACAGTGATACATTCAAACGCAGTAGTCTATATCCAGTAACTATTGGATGATGTCACAACCATTGCTACGCATTACAACATAACAAATGAGTCATTCAATGGGATTAAGGGCCTTTCAAGCTGCACCTTAAAGGTGAAGGGTGTAATTTCTGCGCCCCTGGAGACACCAAAGGGAACTGCAATCTGTTTGTTTGAGGCAGAGGAGGTTTATAATACTGGGTGAAAGCCATGCATTAGCGTCCCCATTCATCTCAATGGCAGTTTCTCGTCTAGCACAGGCTCCCTGGAAGTATGTGAATTAAAATCTGTCATCTTTGCTCATGCATTCAGTTCTGGGCACTTTAGTTCTGCATTTAATACTTCAAAAGATTTACATTGAAAATTTCATCATGTCTCAACAATGCAAAGACCTTGATTATAACTGTGCATGTACTTGACTCAACCAGTGGCATGAGTTTGGGGCATGTATTTATCTGAGCAACAGCAGACAAGCAAGGTTGTCTGAAATCAGTCATTATTTTTACAGTTCTGTTTGGTGCCATTAGTGGTGCAGAAATGACATACTTGAATTTTCCATGAGCCAGCAAAGCAAAGAGGAAGAGAGGCAGAAATTTGTGTTTCTGGTTTAAATGTGGGGGGTGTAAGACAATGTTTACACTTCTCGAAGTTGCCTCTCGGCCTGCAACTTTAGGAGGCCCTTTTACTTGAATTAGGAGAAATCCTTTCAGAGATGGGTTGCAGGGATCAGGGGGTGGCTTTCCAGCATGACAAAACCAAACCCATTTCCCTCCTTTTTTTTTTCTCCCTCCAACACTCTACAGGACGCCTTCGCAGCTTACACAATGCAAATCAGTCTGAGCCCCCTTTCAGAGAGTGATTAATATGCATAGACGGCCCATCTATATCAAACAGCACAAAACGGAAAACAACTGGAGAACATTTGGGACGATTGGATTTCAGTCAGCTTGCGCAAAACAAAATTAATACATTTTTACAAGAAGGAGTCACAGTGTGAACAGTACAGCATGAAAGCATTCAAATGTTTTTATCTGGTGAAACATCCAGCAATCCTACAGCATGGGGGCAAATCTCTCTACCAGATCACAATTCCTTTCAGCTCTGATCTGACGCTTATGTTTTCATTGGCATCAGTCTTAGTAAAAGCAATACCATTATAAAATTCACTCTTTAATGACCATACAGAAGGACTCTGTAGGAGGAGAGGTTCAGAGGTGGACCCTTTACCAGTAGAGATAAAATATCTGGTCAAATTTAATGAGACTTTTAAGAGAAGTGATAAATTCATTCTGTTATAACACATAATTATTCAGCAGGCATACATTCTCTGAGAAATTTTAAAAAAAAATGTAAATGTAGAGAGCCTGTCATTCATTTATGTGCCATAAAGAAGAATCATCCTTGAGTTAAAATCAGTTGATTTAATTATGGTTTGTCTGTGAACCAAAAAAATAAAAATAAAATAAATAATTTGAAAAAACTGAGCCCTGAACTTCATGACATTATCTTTAAAAACTAACAAAAACACTAATAATGGTAAAACAGAAAGCTGCACCTGAAATATGAACGAATGTCTGCACATAAAAGCACCAAATTATAGTAGGCCTATATTTTTTTTTTCTTCTTTTTTTTCTTTTATCACATGGTTACTGTTACTCAGCCAAAAGATGGAGATCCAAGTAATTTTACTCTCTTCCAGTACTTTCATACTAGCTTTGAACTTGCCACAGACAGAGGAGTTCCAGATGTTCACCATCTTGCAATTGTTTCTTTATTTTCCTTCAAGTGTTAATTAATCTACTACTTTGCCCTCCTCTTGAGGTCAGGGACATGTACAGTATTTAAAGCCCCCTGTCCTGACTACTTTAAGTTGGATAAACTTCCAAAGATTTCATCTAACAATAACTGTACTGTATATAAAAGCAAACACACTAGACATGAACTCACAAACTCCATCACTCTTTAAATAGGACACATGTACAAACTCACAGAACTACACATCCTGCCCTAATTACACGCAAATTAAAGACACATTCTATAACCTGCCAAACACACCAGGACAAACTCCCACACCTGCTAGGAGGAACATCAAACCTGCTCAAACCAGCTGCGAGGTTTGTGAAGTCCTGCCACGACAAAAGGGCAACCAGTGGGACAGGACCACCGACTGGAAAATAACATCATCCCTCTGCATCACGCATACAAATCATAACCACTAACGGCTATCACTGTACAACACCACTCCATTTCACCATACACTTATGTGTAAATATTAGGGATGCACCGATACCGATACTGGTATCGGTATCGGGCCCGATACTGGCCTCCTGTACTCGTACTCGTACTCGTTAAAATGCCCCGATACCAAACGCCGATACCACACAGCATGTGATAAGCGCCATATTTAAACATAGAAACACTGACAACAGACAGCAGAAAGGAGTTATGGATGTCTACTACGAAGTATATGTATGCAATAAATATAATGTTAAACATTCAGTATTAACGCCTAGGGGGTGAGAGAATATAATTAATTCCCGCCCAAGTCTTACTCTCTGATTGGCTGGAAATGATCATCCATGCATTCGAATAATTTCCCGAATAATCACATGAAACATTTTTGGAACAGTTCCATTTATCACTCTTATTTATGCGCAGCACTCATAAATCACACTTTCGCTTAGTTTTCTAATTGGCTGCTTGGTCTGCTTGTAAACAGCCTGGATATTCATTATAAATGCATGAGAAGTGTAACTTCAGTCTTTAATGGGACGGTTCAGGCATTTACTCACACTCATTGCTTTTCTAAACCCGTTTGACTTACTATTTCTTTAGTGGGATACAAAGGCACAGGCAAAAGGTTAGAGACAGACAGCCTTAGTCACCGTTCACTTCCATTGCATCTCTTTCCATACAATGAGAGTAAATGGTGACCGAGTCTATCACTCTGACTGCATCTTCTTGAAGAAAGTAAGTCACAGAAAGGTTCGAAACAACATAAGGGTGAACAAATTATATATTTTTAATTTCTCGTTGAAGTATTACTCAAACAATAACAAGGATAAACTAATTCAAGGGTAATGCAGAGATGTTCCAGTCGCTCAACACGAGCGCTCTCAGCTGCGCCAGCACCACCGTGACCATCCAGAATATGAACAACACACGGATGAAAACACACACATTAAAAACACCACACAATAAACTTTGGCTGGTTATTGTGACGGCTTAGTTGGCGATGTTTACACAACACACCAGATGGTTGTTTTTCCTGTCCCCCAACACAAATCTCAAAGGAGCCAATGCGCAGTAATGTCCACACAACCATAAACAACGCAATTTCGCGCTCTTAAAATGTCAAATATCACTCATAGAAGTGCGGTTTGTTTTTACACAGGGACGCGAGACTTCATATCCCACCTAACCGGTGCCAGTTTGGTAACATGTGCCAGTTTGGCAGGGATGAAAATAACAGAGTTTGTTTAAATGAAAGGGACGGATAGATATAAACCGAGGCAGTTTGCAAAGCTGTATCACTGAATGAACCAGCTCAAACTACCTCGCATCCTCATCCTCAAGCTCGCTATAACTGCTTCTGTGCTTTGGCGACAACGCGCCAAGACAAACAAGGATGCGAAAGGATACAGTCTAACACAGGGCAACTGATACAAGTGCATCTTACCTGCATAACCAAAGAAAAGCAATGTCCAAATGAGATCCCTTATCTGAAGCATTGCAATCGCTTCCAAAGGTATGCTCCGTGTAGAATAGGTAGAGAGAGTTGGTTCAGTTATGATCTAAATGACTACGATGCTTTGTCCCTGTTTCAGGTTGATGTGATATCATGAATTGGTCCTCAGCCGTTGACACAGAATGCGCTCCGAGCAGCACAGCGAATGAGTGACAAGAGCCGAGGCACGCACAACATGAATTCATCCGCCAGAGCTAGCGTATATGGAGCGCGCTGGATACGTGGGCATAAACTAGTGCGAGCACTTTATTCAGTCTGGTGCCGCTGCAAATCACAAACAGCAGATGGTGCGCTCGGACAATGGCCTCATGGACTGCCGGGGGTTATTCGGATTAGGAATTCTTGTAAACTCGACAATGGTTACCGGTATTCAATGGCGGGTTTCGTTTCCCCTCACCAGGCTCATTATATGAGTATAGAGCGGATGTGTGCGGCATCGCAGTAATCGCACAGTCCTTTCACCTACTGCACGTCCTCACGCAAATACAAGGGGAAATAAAGAGTCAAACAAATAGAATGCAACCTATTTTGCTCTTTTAAAGTGGATTTAATTAACCATACTGGATACTGCATTTTTTTTAATGGGAATGATGTGTTTTTCCTTGGTGGCATAAAAATAGGCTATGGTAGGCAACAGAATAATGCATGGAAGATTTTTACAAAATTGTCACAAAAAAACAGTTGCTAAATAGCAGGTGCTTAACTGTATCAAATGCAAAACTGAGCCAAATGTACAGGGATAGTTCTGACAATTCTGCTATCATTTATTCAACCTGATGTTGTTACACACCCATGACTTTCTTTCATACTTCTGTGGAACACAAAATAATTTAAATCTAAAATATGAATCCTAAATTACCAAATTGTTTCCCGGCAGAAGAATGCTAAGAAAAAAAATAACAACAGTAAATTATTTAAACAATTAATAAAATATTTACCAATCCACAAAAGAATATGAAATATATGTTATTAAATCTATTTTATTCATTCATTTTTAATGTTTCATGTTCATTTATTTTTAATGTTTACTTTGTTTTTGTCTACTTTGTTTTATTTTTAGAATATGTGAGAAACCTAGAAACTCAACAATGTACTTACTGTGGTTTTCAGATCATCTTTTGGCGATGGATGTAAAAGGGAAGATAGGTGGCTTGTGATTTGCCAATGTCCTGGTTTTGTCCCGTGAAAAGGTCAATAACAATAATTCCCTACAGACAAGACAGGAGTTGCATGAGGAGAGCATTGCTTCAGACTTATCTCAGTAATTTGTAGCTGAGTGTGAAACTGCATTCCACGAACTGTCAGAGGTTAGAGAGGAGAGGGCTCCTCCATCTCCGTTTTCAATCAGAATTCCACCCGGTGAGGTGAAAGCATTGCAAATTCTTCCACACACTGCTATGGCAGATCAACATACACTATGGGATGAGCCTTTTAAGGATAGAGTACTTAAATTGCCACTCTGAAATCTGAATGCTGGAGAAAAGAGAAAAATGCAGACATAGTTAGCGTCTTTCATCACAGGGAGTGATGTGCAGGAAAATGGCAGTATGGGTTCACAGCTCTTCAGTGGAAATGTTTGTTTACGTTTTAAACTTCAGAATGTCTTATTAAGGGCAGTTTTAAGAAAATAAATATACTGTGTATTTTAGTTTGATGTACAGCCCCTCTGTATGCATAAATGACAGGTAATCATCATTTTCAGAACTTACAGATCTATGGGATGAGCCTTTAAGCATACATTTATGGTTTCCATAAAATATTAAGCATTAACTGTTTTTGACATTGATAATAATATGAAATATTTCTTGAGTACCAAATCAGCATATTAGAATGATTTCTGATGGATCATGTGACACTGGAAACTGGAGTAATGCTTGCTGAAAATTGGTTTTCTCCCAATAAGTTAATATATAGCCTATTAAAATAATGCTATAAATAAGAATCTGAAAAGAAAGAAGCTTCAAATAAATATTTTAAGGTGCGTGGATAAATCCAACCACCCCCTATTGTCACGAATCGGCTACTGTGAGGAGCACGGAGACGAAGGAGCGAGGAGACGACGAGTGGAATTCAAACATATAGATTTTAATCACATCCAGGGAACAAGTCATGTGACACTGGAAACTGGAGTAATGCTTGCTGAAAATTCAGTTTTGCCATCCCAAGAATTAACCACATTTGTTTTTGATCAAATAAATTCAGCCTTAATATTTATTCCAATTGTAAACATTATTGATGTGTGGTGTATGGATGGACAGATTAAAAAAAAATATATATATATATATATATATATATATATATATATATATAT